TTGGGTTTGAAAGTGGCACAATTTGAGCCATTTTGCAGAGGGACGGTTTTTCGAAACGGCTACTTTTCTGGACAGGGACATTTTCTGCATTTTAGGGGTAGTCTGCTTCTGGTGAAAGTTTCTCAAAAATTCATTGGTCAACCCCCCGAAAATTGAAAGGAAAATGAAAGAGGACATGTGGAACATCATTTTTCTGTGTAGCCTGGACACCTGTGAGAGTTGTGAGTATTTTTAAAATATTTGTGAAGTACGGGGATTTATCACTGCTGTCTATTGGAATTTATTTTAAGAGGTGCACCCCATATGCCTTCTTGTACGTACAGCACATGTACGCAATACCATGCATACTGGGCATCCGTCGCGTACCTAGGCGATAACTCGTGCAATTGCAATGCTGTATACAGGTCTCAGTATTTTGTGAGGAGTACGTCGCATTGCTGCAGCAAAATCAGCCAAATTTTGGACCGGATGTGATTGAAGAAAAAATGTCAGCCGAATCAATTTTACTGATAGGGAAACTCTATTAAGAAACATCCGGTTCAACCCGAGCGTTCCACGACACCGTCGCTCAAAGTACAGGAGGTTTGTAGTGAATTTTTATGGAAAAAGCCTAATGTGTCCTTGGAGGTAGAAAGTGCAGAGAGTTAACTCACGGGAGGATTTCGCTTTTCTAATTCGACCTTTCTTTTCGAACTCCTGTCCCCTGATGTCTGTTTTCACGCCACAGGCAGCTACGGAGTGACCGTCATGAAGCCAACGGTTTGGCTCTATTTTGGCATTTTCTTGGCTGTTTTATGTTCTTGTCTTTTTTCTTGCATTGAAAAGGACTAAATGCCACGGAACAGACCGTGACTATCAATAAGCGTTACGGACAAATTTGGAGTTACCAGGTTTAGAAAGGAAACAATTTGAAGTCTTTCCTTGAGAAATTGCACCCAATATAAGAAAATGCCCGCCCGAGCAATACACTTTGAAAAGTTGGGAATAATGTTGCAATGGGCAGAATCTCGCCGATGTTAGCAATACTTTTGCAAATCTAGGACCTTTTGGCAAAGAAAGACCCCACTGACATTTAGGCTACATGTACTTTTAAAACATTCAATACAACAGTTTCTCCAAAGTCAGCATGCATGGATTTTTTTCTCGGCGTAATAGCAATTAATCTGAGAATATCAATTGTAATACATTGGCCCTGGAAGCTCTTATCGATGAAGACCAGCTCCTTTTCCAATTTCGCAGGAACTTGAGAAGTTGACATAGTTCATCAGATTCCGTTGACTTTAGAGCTGTTAACTTTTGTATCCATTTTGTGAAAAAGTCCCTGCGGTGGAGTTTGCTTTCTTTCTGTCTTCTCTTGATTCTCAGTCTTTCTTTAATAAGCTCTGTAATATTTTGTATTCAACCCAACGACTGCAGCAAACCATTGGAGTCAGGTTGGCGCACGCCATCCTTCTTTCTTCTCTCCAGTAATCCTAGACTGACTCCCACTGGGATGCGATGTGGAGTTAGTTTTCGGCCCTGGCTTGATTGAATCGATTTCCGAACTCTTTCTTTTCTCCTTTACTTTATTTGTAAATCGTGGAGAAATAAAACGGACACTTAAATCAACTTCTGTCTCAGATGAATGATATTATATACCTGGGACGTGATCTGATATCAAATAAAAGAAATGAATTAAAAAATATATCAAAGTGTCAAAATCAATTTTACAGCACGAAGGGGTTTTTATTTGAAAACACGAGGGACTCTTTACTTTTGGAAAGATGCGCACGATAACGTAATGTTTACCTGCTAACACGCTTAAATTTGTTTACACTGCAATATTGAAAAATCATAACAGTGGGCTGGACCGTCCATCATTTTACGTGAACGTTCTGCTTACATATAGCACTTGTATGGGGGTTACTTGTGAAGTTGAAGACGTATCAAAACGTCAACAATTTTCTTAGGACAAGGGGATGCATCATTATTTCACTCATGTTCATCCAACATCGCATTCAGCGCCCATTATATGATGAATGTATGGCAATAAAGAATGAAATGGAAAATTCTAGAGGTGGGAAGAAAACCCCGGATAAATATTCAAGGGAAAACCTACAGAATCTGTCAGAAACTGAAAAGCCAATCCACATACTGACCTAGGTGGGATTTCGAACCCGGGTCGCAGAGTTGGAAGGCGAGGAAAGAGCGCCTAGGCTAACCCGACTCCCCTAAATTGTCATTTGAATATCATAATCTCTTCAGGACAGCGATCTTTGATTCACTTATTAAAGGACACATTTGGACATATGTTTACTTCAAGGTAATAGATCCATTAGTGTAATTCCATTCCGAACTTCATTCTAATAGATCTTATAGAGAGAAATACAACTAACGTACACCTGCCTTTTTGAGACAGTATTTTGACACAAAAGTGCTTCGACCTCATAAGACGGTTACGTTTTTGTTGCGCTATATAGTACCTATAGACATTTGAAGCAAGATATGGGACGGAGAGGACACCCCCCCGGCCTTTGTGTTGGTCATTGTTTGATCGGAATCTCAAGAATTCTTTACAGACTTTGGAGTATAGATGCTCTGTGGTGCCATCTGTGACAACTTTTGGCTACTTTGACAACTTTTTTTTTAAACAAATGCTTCTGCAAGCTATGCATTTTCATTTAGGTTTTGGAAAAAAGGTGGAGGGGGGCGTAATTGATATAATACCCCCACTTGGAAAAGTGTGGGGGACATGTCCCCCTGTCTACCACCGATTGACGCCCATGAAGCAGGCTCGTCCTGAATATAGGCTTGTTCAACTCCCCAGTCCTTAATTCTCCCAATCTGTTCACTCCAGTCTAAGTTTACCGTCCTCAGGCGGCAGGTATTTAATTCTCCAAAAATCATGTGTAAAGACACTAACTGTTTACTTAAAAGAGGTATGCGGATCACGTCCAAGACCTGAAAGCAAAATTTTCAAGTCATATACTTCGAATCGAAACCTCCCTTACTCTACAAGTCCATTTCATCAAATTAATACAAGTATATGGTGCAACATCCAGTGGAGGGTGACTGGGCAAAGTGCCTCCCCAAACGCACCTGAATTTCACGACAACCCACCCCTTCCCCTTAAAAATTTTCTGGGCAGAAAAATCCTAGCCTAACAGAAACATTCTAGCCTACTTTTTCACCAAAGAAATTTCCTATTTTGCCCCCTACTGATCCCTAAATTGAGTTCCGTTCTGTTACGGTATCAGCCCCAATCTCAATACAGTTCCAAACCAGATAAGTCTTTTACACGAGATTTCCAGAAGAGTTAAGACACGGGTGGCAATGACCATTCCTCCATGCAATGACAAAGGAAATAAGTGAGTAACCCTAACCCTAACCCCTAACCCTAACCCTAACCCTGTTGTGGCCATGAGCTCATTCGCCTATGTCTGTGGACACTTCGGTGGTCATCATTGCGGTCACTATCATGTTATTCAGAAGCAAAACCGAAAGGCAAACTCGGTTTAAAGACAGAGGCATTTTTCTGTCGACCTTTCCTCTTTGGTCAAAAGGATTTAAAATTTGCAAGACACACATGAGTTTGAAATGCAATTGACCATTTGTAGGCCTTAATGAAGGAAAATTGAACACAAACCCACTGTTCTTTCTGAATAGATTGTCACTGTAATGCATCGCAGCTCACATATATGTGCTTTGTGGACCGACCGCTGACGGTCACCAAGATCGAACCATCAACCGACACCGAAACCAGCCACCAACGCATAGGGAGTCAGCCAGCAAACCAGTCCCGGTATGGGCCCGTCACCTGCCCGCCAGCCGTTAAACGCAGCTGGCCGGTTGTGCATGCAGAAGTTGCGTATTAACCTCTTTAAATCTTCCAATCGCCCGCTCCTTCAAGCCCTCAGTTCCAGATTATTCTTCAGCGAAATGACCACAATCTCAAAATCACAATCTCCAATTATATTTGAAATTCCGTTTACCCTTCTGTGTGGCGACCTACATTTCGCTGAGAAGTTCGCTGGGATTGCAATTTAAGAACAAGCCAAATCTGCGTGTTTAAATTGGCAGACATCCAGTTTCTCCAAGCACCTCAAAGCACTTTACTCTCCACTATAATACTGAGAAAACATGCGCCTAAATTTCTTGGCAACGGTCAACACTTCCCTTTGAATTTTGGATACTCAGCTTCTGTAAACCAAGCTCCTCAACACCTCACGGCAAGACTCCCTTTTTAGAGCCGCTTGGTTGGAACCAACAGCCTCCATTTTGGCCTCCTCAACCCAAACCCGCAAACGATTACGTTATGATTTGAGGCCCAATCATTGATCACTTCTCAAAGTTCTACACCAGCTTCATCCTTTAAAATCGCTTTAGAGGTTAAAACACAGAAAAAGAATTGTATTTATTTGGCTTACCAACTACACAAAACTAAAAGGAGCTAGATGCTTCATCGAGATAATGAATGATTCATCCACGACTGTGACATTTTTACTGACAGAAGACACATCCAGTAGGCACATCTAGTTGGTGGTTCACCCAACGCAAACACATCGTTCAAAATGTATAATTCACAAAAACCGCAATCTATAAAAGCTAAATTACTTCACAGGTAATCAATCCAACTTAGGTTTTTTTTTACAATACCATGCCATATTTCTATATTTCGATGTTGACATAGGATCTAATAAAGATTTTATCAGATTACATATTTATGTAAAATTAGCATAGGTATTAATATTGAATGATGAGAATATCCTTCCGCCACAGTACGAAATAAATCTCTTCCGCTTGGGCGAAGCTAGGTCTGTCACCGACTCGCATATAAAAGTTGTTCACTTTTGGCCCGTCCAAAGAAACAAGTTTCTTCGATGATGTGCCAACGACCACGTCAGTGCTCCGGTGAGATTTCGAACCAGATGAGAAACTGAACACTGCAAAAGAACTGATCACTTTCCCCCGACTTCCCTGAGCTCCGACATGTTGCATTCTCATCACCAGATGAGCGGGTATTTCCTCTCGTCGCGACCGCTGTCGTTGGCGTCCCTGTGCCTGATTTTTCTGGGCCTCTGCAGCGGCGGGGCTAGCGGGATATGGTTCGGCCGGCCCGGGGAAGGTTGGATGAGGAACCGGGTGATTTGGCAGCGACCGGGGGTCGAAGAGTCGGGCCCGGTCGTAACCGAGGATAGGGCCCAGCATCCAGGCACGGTGAACCGAGACTACTGGTCAACCGCGGGGGAGGAAGACGACAAGAGAAACGGTCAACTAACGTCGAATGTGCTCTTCAATTTGATCAGAGGTGAGTCAGTTTGGTCTTTAGTGTAAAACTACCTGCCTTAGTGATTATCCAATCTCGGTATGCGTCGTTAGCCAGTTTTAGCCGATCTATCACTAAAGCAGCCAACACGTCATGAAAAAGAGCATTAGGGAGACGATAGCGATCCAATTTTAGGTTCCTCCTTGTAGGAGTCGAGAACTCCGTTTATATTCACGAATGCAGACTGTTCATACTAAAGAACGGTGTGAATCGGATACGGCTGTCAAAGAATAAGTCAAACGAAAGCTTGAAGAAATGTTGAAATATTGTTGTCAATTCAGGCACCAGCAATTGTGATATTTTGTTCGAGAATTAAATCCTAACACTACTGTCATTCCAAATTCTTCTGCAGTTAGTGAGGTACTCCTTAAAATTCGCTTATTATTTACAGAAAACATGTACGGGATAAAAATTGTCTAAAATGATGTTCTTCGATTTGTAACCATGTCAGATGTACAATCCTAGTGGCTAAATAAAGTGCAGACGTGTCTATGGCTTTTACTGATCAATAGCATGAAAGCCCTGAGAATGTTTCTGTTTCCCTTGGATGGGGTGCTAGTCCGTTGCAGTTTAGTTCCAGTTAATGCCTGTGCCATATATACATATATTTGTTTGGAGGAGGGGAGGTTTACATTTCTCAACCTATGGCCAACTGCTGGATTCTTTCCCTTTGTGCTGTGATCACGCGTTAAAAAAACAGAAATAAAGAAAACTACAAAGCAAAACTATAACGTGTTGATAAAACGGAGTGCTTTGATGCTTGGAATTTTGATGATTTGAGACAGGGAAGGAACATAGTAAATTCTATTTGAAGGCCCATTTTCGATCAAATAGCATTATGTGTGTATTAGTTGATTAGGGGCTGTCTAAAGGGTCAGTCTACAATCAAGAAAAATCTCAGACCGAAATACGGTTATTGCTAACATCCGAATCAAACGATTGGCGTTTTTATGACGTGCATAATTTTGCCATCATGTCGCCAGCTCGTCTATCTTCTCAGAAAAACTGACAAACAAGCCTTTGGGAAACGATCAGTTTTGATGAAGTCCACAAACATATTTATCCCAGCAAATCAAATTACCATCACGCTATGAGACTTGAAATGCACACAAGTGATATCAAAAGAAAGCGCCACACGATGATTCTGACAAAAAGCTTCAAAATGACAATACTTAATCGGGTCGCATGTACTTCTGATGAATGGCAGGTGAAAGGTTGTTGTTGACGTAATAAATGTGTTTGACACAGCAAAACACGACGGCGAACACCACCAAAACCGTCGTGTGACGTCTTTGCGACATCCGAACGATCCTCGCAAATCTGAATTACCAGAAACGGCTCCACACACCGTTTGAACCTATATCCATGCGCATTCAATTTGTCACGAGACACTGGCTAAAAGAGATTTTACAGCAAAGGGAATTGAGCTATCCTTGACAGAAACAAACAATGTAGCCGCTAACTTGTCTTCATTTCGTTATTAACAGTTCTCAGAATGCACCTCCTTCTCCTTAACATTGACGAACTCAAGAAAACGGTTTTACCTTTTTTTTGTGCAGCCTGGCGGTCATGTAACTAATCGAATCTAAGATATTGAATGTCGGATAATATTCTTCGGGGGAATTCTTCTTACCTGCTTTTTGTTTTTCTTTTGGTGCCAAAAGTCTATTCTTCTTGCGAATTTGTTTTAAAAGCCGGACCTCGGTGGCAGAACAGAAGGCAAAAATCATAATTCTTATTAAATGCAAAACAATTAAGCTTACCTGATGCCTTTTAGCATCCCCCCAATCAGCAAGGGGCTTGGGAGGGGAAAGGCACGTCCCTACACCTTCTCAAGCAATAACACACCACTCCACCACAGAGGCCCATCGGTGTTCTGGTCTTTACAGAGGACGTCCTCCTACTACGGGTAGTGATCGATGCTCGTTGGTGCATTCCAGGTTAGGGTTGAGCTAGGGACCCGCTGCCCTCCAGATATGAGCCAAGAGTATATTTTTCGAAATGTTACGAGAGAAGTACAAAGTTTGGACCAATTTAAAAATCCTCTGTTAAGCGTGTAATAGCCCAACCATATAGCTTCACCCAGAGAGGTCAGACAAGTTGCTATTAGAATTTTTGCTCTTTGAACAGATTTGGTCTTCGCCGCAAAAATCCTATCAAACGTTTGGTTCAAGATTCGCCCATGACGACGCCCGTCAATGGATAACTAAAACGGGGATTTCTCAGAGAATTTCATCTAATTTTAACCCCAACTTTGTTCCATCTTGTGTACATGATGTGCCGTCGAGAGACTCATCGGACTAAAAGTTTTCAAACCTTATACTTTCCAACTTTAAAACATCACTCACTACCTCGCCACAACCATTAAGTAACCCTAAAAGACTTGGGCTTTTCGGACCATGCCACAACCAGGGGATGGGGGGGGGTTGTCCCCCTCATATCTAGGCAGTCCCATATATCCGATTTTTAAAAACTTGGCATGTATGATACAGACACCCATTACGGGTGAATCGGTGGACTTCAGTTCAGTCCAACATAGGTTTTTATCGTCGCAGTTATGTACAGTTCAATATTATTAATGGATAAAGTTAAAATTCTTGGCTGATCAATGTTTATAACATTGGTCTCAATACAATTTTAAGAAACTACTTTGAAAAATATCCGTGGGGTGATTCCAACGCTTACACGCATGGGTACAGCGAAAAAATTGAGTGTTGAATCCAACACATTAAACCCTGCATTTGAATCTTAAATCACTTATTGAACTTTAATTTAAATCCAGCATATACACTGTTATCTAAAGTCTGCAGTACTAGCTCATCAACTGAAAGAAAAAATGATCAACAACCCCCCAAAAATTGAATGTTGGATACCTTGGATCTACACGTTCTAAGATTCAACGCTTCAATTTTTAGCCTGTATCTCCCAGAATGCAGCTGACACCGAACACTGATAATGTAACCTGTCCCTATCACTATGACACAACCCATCGTGGTGACGAAAATCCAGGAAGAGTAAAGACGACGTGATTAATTCGTCGCCCGACAACTTCTGATCTTGCTGTAGCGTTTCTTGTATCTGTACCGTGTGCCTGTTCAATAACAACATGTCCGATTTGGCCAAACTTCGATAACGATAAAGTTTCAGCGTGGTCTAGCTGCTTCCGGATTGGCAGCAGCTGAAGAGGAATTTCGGCTTCAACTGACGTGGGCTCAGAAAGATCATTTTTCAAGTTTCTGCTTCCATCGGGTTTATTTTTGAACATGCCTTTCACCTCTCATTACCCTGGGAAATACTGGGAATCCAACGATGCCAAGTTGATAGTGTCCCCTCGGCTACCAGGTCACAGAGCGTCCTAAATACCACACAACGAGCGATCCTCTCCGCCCTATCGTACATGTACTTCGTAGCTTCACAGGACCAATGAATTTATCATGACCCTGAACCCTACACTTGAAAGATTCAGTGAGGCAAGTACATGTACTGTGCCACTATTACCTCTGGGGGCATGCGCAGTGCAGAGGAGACGCTTTTTCAGATCGATAATCTCAGGCCGCTGCGCACATGAGGGTAGGGTTGTAAAGGTCGACTCCCGGGGTTTCAAAACTTCATTGTGTGACAAACTCAACGTTGAAATAAATCATACGATGAACCACTACACAGAGGGTTAAGCGTCTGGAAACATCCATAAACATCTGTAGTGTGTACAATTAAGACAATAGTCCACAATTCATCCACTGATTAGTCAAAACTAAACTTGTCTTTAAAGTGTCAGATGTGAAGATTCATGGGGAGGAAATGTTTTTGAACGACGAACGAATCTCAGTACACTGCATGTGTCTGATATGTCTTTTTTTGCGGGGGGGGGTTGCTTTTTGGGTGGGGACAACAGATATTTTTAAATAAACTTTTTGCTTCGGGCTTCATCCCGCATGGCCCTCGTCGGCCCCCGTTACGTATCCACCCTCGTGTGGACGAAACCTTCCTGTGAATATTCGGTGAAAGACAACTGTGTAAGACTCGAAACTCGTCAGATTTTCACAGCGACAGATAAAATCTCAAGAAACCTGAACATTGATAATATACAACAGTAAATATCGCGCTGTCACAAATTTTGCTTTGGCTGCGCAGTCCTTCCCAATGTTGTTCCGAATTGGAATAGAATAAATGGGAACACCAACGACCAGTGAGCTCAAATGATAGCATTTCTAACAGGAAATAAGTTGTGGTCAAAGACATAGAAGGAGGGTGGTTATTCCCTATTTTAAATCAACCGTCTTTCTCCCCCCCTACCTTTTCATGCCTTCAACAGAGGCGTATATGCAGTGTCTTCCAATGTGCACCGCTTTGGGCGATGTACTGTAACAGTCACGTCGGCAATCTGTTCCAGGGTTGGTGAAATGTGGAAGTGGGTCGGGGCATGACTAAAGCCAGATTACATATGAGGTTCAAACAGGGTTAGCTAATGCTGTCATTCACCGGACCAGACGAGAAGGTGACGACTAAATGTTCAAGTCCAAGGACTCTTTGCGGTCCCTCGAGAAAAGCCAAAACTCAGGGTTAGTGTCAAATACATGTAAGTCCTTTCGATATCTGCACCATGGGATTGGACGGCAAACTACATGTAGCGAGTGAATCATAACACACAAACGCAGTGATGGAAGGCAAACCAGAAGCATTAATCACCAATTACCTCTTGAAATAGTCCAAAACAAATCACTTTCTTTTCACACAATGTGATTTAGAATAAAGTTATTAAAAAGACCAAATCGTGAAGCTTATCATACATGACGTTTTGGAAATTTCGACCCCTGACGTCACTTTAAGCCGAAATTGGAAGCCCATTTATGTGACACGTTCATGTTTCTTTCAGCTTTTCTTGACATCTCTATTCGTAATATTCTCTATTCCGGGAATAAATGCAAGGCATACTTTTTGGCAATAATCCTCTCATTATTGCCCCCCAAAGGCTCCTTTTGGGGGACGGGGAGAGGAAGTCATGGCCCCTGGCCCTGTTGCCTCGCTGGAACCGCTCTTTCCAACAATTAGTGATGGGCGCTGATGTTAGATATTTAAGACCGGCCTGACTCAGCGCGTGGAAGAGGATGTTGGAAGCAGCAAGTTTTGTCGTACTGGTACCGAAAAATCATTATTCTTATTTTGCTTAATGACGTTTAATTTGATTTTTTTTGAGCTTGTTTCTATAAAGGTGTAACACACATAAAAAGCATTGGGCCTACTGGGACAAGGCAGCAGCTAGTGGTAGTGTACTGGTCAAATGTCACGGGGGCAAGGTTGAATTTTGCATTTCAATAATGATGAAACAATCAACGAACTAACTATAGGTTCCCACGCTGCTGTTAATTATTGATGATCTGACGAAGTCGCTATCACTCACAACTAATCAAAGTCTATCCTTCTAACAAGAGAGAGGTTGAAGTTAACCAGGCTTCATCGACACAAAGGCAAACTTACTCTCGAAGTACAATTACATAAACGCCAGACTGTACAGGTTGAGATTGGAAACTGTGTCAGTGAATTTACTTATTTGGGTTTTGTCCCGGATGGTGTGGGTATTTCCACGGGGGTCTCACCTTTGGACAAATACCTTTGAGTTCTAGAGCAAAAATCCAATCCACAAAAATGCCTGTTCAACAATATTCCCCAACACTTTGCTCTAGCTCGCAAATGCCCATTTATACGCATTGGGAGCATGAGGGAAACAACTTGGGACAGTTGCGGCTCGGAAGAGTTTTCCATCTCATCGCCGTTTCATTGCTCCCATAGCCTTATTATCTGCTACTTCACTGTGAAGTGAGATTTGTATATCCGTTACTTAATCAGATGGAACCACGACACAAAATAACAACGTAAACAGTAACTATTTCCCAACGCCATAAATATCCCGTTTTGTTTGTAACGGCCTAAAAGCGCCTATCCATATGCGTGTCCACACTTACGCCAAGCGTTGCGTATCCGTCAAAATAGCACCGGGGCGATTTTGTGTCAGTGAAAGTTGAGCGCATGAACGCAATGTCCACACAACGCGCCCCCAAAACGTACCTTGCATCTGGCATGCTTCCAGCAGTTCTCTAGAAATAAACGTAAAACTGATCGCGGGTCGAAATACTTTCGCGAGCCTGACAATTTATCGTTTATGAGAATGTGTACATGTGTAGGTTTGTGGACAGTGGCTACGTTGGGGTGCATTTCGGTGAACTTTTGCCAGAGTTCGCAACTTCCATGGAGGTTTGACGCTGGTAACTGCTAAAGCCTAACAGCTCTCATTCTGATAATGTCGTCATAACTGGATGCATTATTTCACTTTGCTAGGATTGATTCTTCAATGCGCTAGGTATCCATGTCAGCTAAGACCTGCATGTCAGTTTAGACAAACGCACCCCGATTAAACGAATCCCTCGCCCCGCACCAATGAAACGGGCATCAACCTTTCCACAGTATTACACAATACGAAGTGCAAGCTGCTGACGTTATCTAGGGCAAATGGTGTCCATGATGCTTGATCTTATTGATCGCACTGAAAACGACATAGAAATTTTGCCGCGGTCATGCCACTGCGCATAGGCAATATTCACTACTCCGTTCTCTGCTTTCAACTCCGTTGAATATCGTGCCAATAGTTCAATATTGACATGGATGGTTAATACACGACACGAACCCATATGACCTAGTGCTTTTTGTACTTGGATTTGTTGCGTCACCAAAGCAGATACCTACATCTTAGGTCCTCGATGTGTTCTTTCTCCCTCCATAGGCCTAAGCAGTTCTGTCATACTTTAACTGAAGAGATCAATTTTCGAACAGTATCAAAATCCCTCAAGTTTGTGACCGATCTGAGGGTGATTTCTGCCGTTCACCGTCGGCACAGTATAGTCATACAAATGACAGTCGAGTTGGCAATGTGGGACGGCGGGGTACAGATGACAAGCGAAGAAACAGCACAAGTATTCATTTGGCCGGTTGTTTGTTAACTTTGGCGTCGAAATGAAGGGCTTTCTGTGCAAAACGTCGCCGCGATTGATGACTTTATGTGTTCTCCTCAACAGGTTGTTGTTACAAAGTAAAGTATAAACCAGGGGAACGGCCACACTAATCGCCAGATTTACCTTGTCAGGACGTTCCATCCACTCAGCTCAATTTCCCCCGAGTTTCGATGTATATCCCAACAAAGTCTAGCCAACGCCAGGCGTAGAAAACCGTCAACTCCTGACACTGTCCTCCCCCTCCAGAAGAGAAGGCAGGCTTAATAATGTGATCCAAACCGTCGGCAACAAGGTGTCAAATTAAATTTATGCCATGCCGGAGAAAGGGACTCGGAGAGAGGTAGAGAACCCGCGCGCTCACTCGTTAATTGTGCCATTTCCGCGAGCCCACAGACAATGTTGTCGAAAGGTCTCCGTGGAACCGTCCGACGCGTCCCCGAGATGATGATATGCAGGCTAGTGCGCTGACAAAACTGAGAAAACGACATTTTCGATTTCCCTTTTCTGTGATTTCTTTTTGTTCTCAACAAAAGAGGCAGCGTTGAAGTAGTTTATCACGTCTGACTGGCAAGCCCGGGCTGGGGACACAGGGGAGTAAACGAGGGCATTTTCTGGCCTCATCAATGCCCACGGTACTAACTTCTGCTAGTTTTCAAAAGACAGCCATTTCATGGGGCACTGCCGAGAGGCGAGAACCTCCTTGCTGTGGGTTTGTTATCCTAACCTCCCAGCTCGTCTGGTTGCAGTTTCGTGCCACAAGTCAGTGGACTAATAGCGTCTTCTTCTTTAACAGAAATTAGAAGGTAATAGAAGATGACATTTAAACATTTCTGAGGGGAATCGGGAAAATGAATTTTCAAGTGGGTTGGAGTAGAGTGTGCAGCCTTAAACCTGTCATGTCTGAACTAATATCCATTTTGGTACATTTGGAATCAGTATTTTAGATAAAAAAGTGGCCTTAAAAGAAGTAAATTTACGCCAATTCTTAAAAATCGAAGGTTACAAAGATTCTAAGATCCAAGAAATGCCTTGAACATGTGAACAGTCAACGATGTCGTTGGAATGAACTGTAAGATCTCCACAGTGACCAGAACTTTAACACCGTCATCGGGAACTTTCGTTTTTATTTGCGATAATTAAGGATTCCAGGTTTACTGTTTTCCAACCCGCACGTCCCGCCTGAAAGTTTAAAATTTATTGATGCTTGAATCAACACAAAACCAATGTCAAACGTCTTGATGGTAGGCATCTGTATTCAGAGTTCCAACATCATCATTACTTTCCCTGATATGGATTGTCACGATCTCTTCTACAGAGCCTGTGGCAGCTATTTGACCCATTCATCAAGACTATTCAGGATCATGAAGTCAGTAAACCAAAGTAAATGCCACCTTTATTGGATATCTTTTAAAAATGCATTGGTCATGCTAGCATTTACGTACCGCTGGCCATAGAGTACCGAAGTGTGACGTCACTGTGAACCAGAAATTCCCGTGCAAACGAATGGAGTGCGATAGAGTACCAAAGTGAATACGTCACGCGCACAATTAGCGTGTAAAAGGCATTGGCGCGAGAATCAGCGCGAGAACCAGCGCGTGAACCAACACGCGCGCGTACTCCATTCGTTTGCACTGCACTTTCTTGTTCACAGTGACGTCACACTTCGGTAGTCTATTGGAAACCAATGGAACTTCAACTGAAATAAAAACCTCGTTTACAACGATAACATTAATTTGTTTTCATCAGGAAAGGGTCGCACGAGCACAACCAAACGCAGCGCTGAATGCGAGTCGAATGAGTTCCGCTGCGACGATGGAAGTTGCATACCCGAAACGCTACAGTGTAACGGGGAACCAGACTGCCTTCAAGGGACAGATGAGGATGAATGCGGTAAGCACAAGTTAACACAATTAGCAACTAACAGATTCAAAGCGGGAAACATTTCACTGTATCGATTGGATTTGAACTTTTGTCGTCCATTGACTTGTCTAGATTTTATGTATATATTTTGGTGTTGATGCCACTGGAACAAAGATTCTTCGGCTCAGATGCAGACCTCTTTGGCCTTTCCGAGAGGCCTCGTCTTCTGTTCTTGTAAATTTGCCTTTAGTCAAATCGGTTCCTGGGTTAAAGAGTGTTATCCGGAACTTCACGGGTACTGCTGGGGCTGAAAAATTGAAATATTGTCTAAAAGAAGCATTAACAGCTACTTCGGTCTTGAAAAGCACTCTACACTACATTTTCATTTCAACCAGTGAAGTTTCAACCGCAAAGCCCAAGCACACATAACTTGCAGAGTAGAGTCCTTTTGGGGGAACTTAGAAACGTTCAACACAAACATGCATTTGGAGCCTCTGGCAATTTCAGACACTCTGATGGGATGGAAGGTGTGGCCATACATGCTAGAGTTTCTCGTGGGCACCCAACCCACCAACATTTAAGTGTTGTATTCCTCGGTGGTTGTGCCGTTTACCCTTCGATGTTCTTACGGATGGCCCGCCTTGAGGTGTGGATTTCTTGTTTCTCCACCTTTTTTTTTTTTTTAAAGTTAACTGCATTATAAACATGGATCTCGCAAATGTCCTTTCTCGAGGACAGCCGTGGATGATTTCCCATCAATTATCACTCTAGTTTTTGAATGGGATAACCCTGCCGACTTTAGGGAAAACTACGGAAGCGCAGTGCAGTTATATATTCTAGAGAAAGAAGACTGCGTTATATTTTTTTCACGACAAGCGAAACTTTTTCAACAGGTTCTTTTAGTGAAGATGATGTTAATGCATGATGGCACATGCTGCATTCACTGCTCATTTAATCAGTGCCATACTTACTTGTCAGGCTATGTGAACATTTTACGGCTCGGAATTAAGTCCAGTTGCATTTTGAAAACAAAACAAAAACCAGACTGACTGAGCATGCGCATCTTTGTCTTGTCATCCTCGAGCACTAGCTCTCCTATAAAGTACAAAAGGCATCGTTTAATGCTGACGCTGTACCAGTAAGCTGGCTGGTTCAGTAACTGTGGTGCATGCAGTTGGTGGGAATTGTGCCACGAGGCATTCCATTCTGTGGACAGGCAAATGATCCCTTTTTAATTGAACCGGACCGACTGGGCGTCTTATTCAAAAGGGATGTCAGACAAGCCGCGATCCCGTGCAAAGTGCGTGCTCAGACGATCCGCTCTTACCACTCACATTTTGTGGCATACGAAGGGGGTCGCGTATAACTTGGTGTGCGGGCGGCTAAACTGCGATTCTGATAGTCATATCTATCAAGGAAAGTGCAGAGTGGGGGATGGTCTTTGCTGTGAGCAGTATTTGATTATACGCAGTTACACAAATTCAAAGGTTTAAAGTACAGAGACCGCAGAGGTGGCGGTACGATCGGTAACACACATGCATTAACCTATTTGAACAATACATCTTTCAAGTGAAAATTCTGGTGAAAGATTGAATGTATTTTCATCATGAAAAAACACTCATTGGAAAGGTGGCAGGTAATATGGAAAGAAAAAATGTAGACTCGATGTCTGAATATGCACACTGCACGAAGCATATGATGTACTAACAGTGGTATGGCATCGTTCTTCTGCATGGCCTTGCAGCCGGATAGATTTCCCCAAACGCTCACATGCACGGTAATCAAATATGTGGCTGGGTTCGTCTGATTTCCTCCCGGACTACCTTTGTGATCGTTTTCCATTAACCGTGCATGTACAGTACTAAGCATGGTCTTCCCTTCCCTTGCCCCTCCTTTTTTCTCTCCTCTTCGTTTTCTCCAGAATTTCCCAACAGGCAGGTAGCCGCCTGGATTTCCGGCGACCGGCGGGTCGCCGGCTATCCCACTGCTGAGCGCGTCCCCAACAACGAGCTGGAGCAGTTCAGCAACTGCGTTCAGAAGCTCATTTACGGATTACGTGTTGCAGGGCTGTCCACTCGCGCCCCAAACTGCTCAGTGGGGTTCAAAAAGTGCGCCCTCCAGGAGAAGTGCTACGACATTCGTTACACGTGTGACGGTCACCCTGATTGCTTGGATGCATCTGACGAGCTTAACTGTGGTAAGCAGGGACAAACTGCTGCGTTGTCTTTGCACACATCTAAAGAAATAGAGGAAATACTGTAACAGATGGGCCAGTTAGACTGAACAAATACAACGGGCAATTCAAAATTCAGTGCACCACAAAGAGTTTACTACAGAGGCCATATTTCAAGTTTACTGCCGATAAAAACATGGCTGAAGTCGCCGTGATTTGCGTTTCAGCGAATGTCAGTAGACCACTTGGGGAAAGAATTGTAGATTGGATTTTTGTAGATTCTTTTGCCGTGGAAAGAAGAGAGGAAAGGTTGTAGAGATGGCAGAAAATACACTTACTCATCTTTTACCCATGCAGACAATTCAAGTCCAACGCGCTCAACTGGGGAATAAAGTTACAGAAAAATCACTTTTTGATTGGGTTTCGCTTTTACTTGTAATTCGTTCAAAATGGACATTTCTCCGATTAATTTTAAGTAGGGTTGTATTTTGTAATCTGATAGCTGCGTAGGTTTTCTTTTTAACACTGCTGGAATTATTCGTTTACTTTTGTACTGACAGTAAACTATAGTTTTAACAGCCACAAATTGTACGAAACGCACGACGGTGACGTCAAAAAAGCAGACCCTATAACCCCCCACCCCCAAATCCAGTTTATTGTTTGTTGTCCATTGCAGCCTCGATCCTCTGCCCTGCAGCCGGCTACATTAAGTGCGAAGACGGGTGGCAATGCTACAATGGGGCTCATACGTGTGACGGCTGGGTGGATTGCCGAGATGGTTCTGATGAGAAAAATTGTGGTAACTAAAACGGGTGACCCTTATGAAGGGAAATATTAGTACACTCCTATAGGAGACAATCCATTTATTTCACTACAGCACATGAAAATGTACTTTGTGGTCTCAAATTTCAACTGTTGACTTGCTAGTTTCAAGGGTACAGAGGGCCTGCGTGGAGCACTCCCACGGATTCCTGTGTTATATGCTTGAGTAAACACTACGGCTGATTTCGGGCGGCTTGTTCTCGTATGTTCGCGAACAGCTCGATTTGTTGTTCGAGGGTCGGCAGCGAGAGCGCCAAGAACGTACAACCGGTTGTCGCTGGTTTAGTTAGTAAGTGGCAAGCAACATGCATCATAATGGCGGCGTCCATGTACGTTCTTCGAGAATTAATGATTGGATAACTGGGATGAATTCTTTTCTATTTAAAAAGAAACATTCATTTCTGACTTGTGGAAGCTTTTTGATAGTAATTTTGCAAAACTCCTAATCGTCTCTGGCATTGTGAGCCATCTTGCAATTTTTTTGCGGCAGTTCAATAATCAAAATCTCAAGAGTTTTTCCGTGCGTTCCTTAAAACCCTGACGAGGAGGTGGTGTTTGAACCTGTTCCGAGAACAGTGATCTTAGGTCATGTTCCCGCCGTTTGAGCGCGAGTACAAGAAACTCGTGTCAAGAGCAGGCCTCCTGAACTCGACCATTAGTATTTCATTGTCATCTAGATAACAAAATATGTCCTCTGTGAGGGCACTCCGTGCAGGCTTTCTATTCTTAGGCCTGTCTGGTTTTATGCCAATATGAATTTCCATATTCATGAGCAAAACTATGATGTCATCCCCGGCAATGAATCTCCGTGTTGCACTGAAATACTGGAATCTTTTTTATATATTTTTTCCTGTCATCAAGTTCAGTTTCTTTGGTAATCAATTGTCGGTTGATTACATGTACAAGGCAAGAAGTCACTTAGCAACATTTTCTCAGAAGTTTTTTCAATGAACATAAAAACATGTAAACTGAACAGTGTCTTCCCTGGGTCACATCACAGCACACACCCTCACTTGTCCGGCAAAGCTGAGACAATTTTTAATGCTGATAAAAGTACACTTTTGAAATAAACCTTATGCGTATGACGTCACATTAGAGGGTATTTCTTTCTTCCTCTGGTGTACGCTATTGTAACATTGTAACGATATTAAAATAACAAAGAAGAGCCTGTAAGACCTCAGCAAGACATAATCTCGATACACTTAACTCTAAAAGGATTTCAAACAGATTTTCTTTTACATTTGAAGAGGAGTATGAAGATGCACAAAAAATGAGTCTAAGAAAATTCATTGCATGAATCCTTAAAAGGTCAGGGCATGACTCAAACAATACAAAAGTGTTCTCTTTTTGGGGAAAATAGGAAATTCCTTTTGTTTCATAACCTTTTGTTTTTCAGAACGCAGGCGTACATAGAAAATAGGAAGCACCTTTTTTGCACATACTCCAGCCGACTACCCACCGTTCTTATTAAACGAGGCGTTCAAAACAAAATATCACTGTGCGAAGGTTTCCGGTAATTTATTCAAAAAGGATGCTCGATCGAGTTAGTCTGCGTAGTGTAGTGGATAGGGAAAAGGATAAGTATTCAGGACGTCCACGAAACGGTATCAAAGAGGGTATAGTGTCTCTCTCTCCCTTGAAAGTCTGTTTCACTTTGGAAAAGACTTTAATTTAATTTACTCCCCAAATCGGTAGCCTTAAGTTTGTTTCATTCAAGGGCAAAACGCTCGATTCAACTCGTTACTAAGTTGCATTTATTAGCCTGGCACCCATATTATATAATATGATAATAAGCAAACAGTCACGTCGGCATATGTCTGACAAGAGGCTTCGAAATGTCATGCGCTACCTAATACTTCAGAATGAGCCTTCAACGTTTTATTCCCTCTGTATTGCTATCAGATTTCCATGTCGGTCCATCCAGTTTTTTAAGTAGAGTTTGGTATCCGTTTACTTAATTATGATCAAAACCGGGTTTTCCTCTACGACGGCCAAGTGCTAAGTTTGTTTCCCAATTTCCTTTATAAACCTGTATCGTGAAGGACACAGACCGTGTCTCGGTGTTAACCAAGTAAAGTGTGCCGATAAGGAACAGTGCTACAGAGAAGACTACACCTGTGACGCGATCATCGACTGTGCTGACGGCTCCGATGAACACAACTGTTGTAAGTGGCTACGCACTGATGCATACTGACGTAGTATAATTGTTTTACTTATTCCCTTAGCCAAGTGTTCCATAAAAATATGCATAATAGGTCATGGTTGTATATGCCTGTGATCACTCACAATTATAATAACTAGATGAGTAAAACGATTGCGGTGACACCATGTATCAATCTCTTTCTTGAGTATGTGTGGTTTTGAGAAGAGGCTCGCTTATGAACACGGAATATTATATTACATAATACGATAATGCATTTTTCCCTCGTTTTGAATGTTAGCATTTTTGTTTTGAGAGTCTCGTTTATTAACTGCGGTGCTGAAACACCCCATGCAGACATGGAAGAAATCCACTTGTATTTCTCATGCTCTCGTCAATATTCCTTTTGAATTAATCTTTAGCCACATTTCACTGCGGGCATGGATTCAAGAAGTGTGCCAACGGCCTACAATGCTTCAGCACATCGAAGCAGTGTGACGGTATTGTCCAGTGCGTGGACGGAAGCGATGAAGCAGACTGCCCGATCCAAGAGGGGAATAACGGTCAGTCATTTCAATCCACAACGGTCCATTGGCTATGCATGGGACTTTTTCTAGTTGTTCCGTACGACTTGCCTTGAACCGAATTTGTTTGTCACATTAATCAGCCATAGCGAGCAGTGTTTTTTTTTTTTTTACAGAAATCGACAATTAATTGCGTTGAATCAAATATGACCAACATTTTAGGGGATGATTTGCCACAATAAGGGAAATTAACATTTTGACCTATTTCGACCAGCAACATATTCATTTTGGCTGGTCCCAGTTGACCACTGCAAGCGTGTGGGCTGATCCAATAGCAGCTGTTTCATGTATTTTTGCTCTGGTCTTTTACACCAAGCAAGCTCTGAGATCTGCGCTGAGAAATGTTGCTCCCGCTTTCCGTCCTGTTTTACATTTTAAGGCTCTTTACATTCTGAAATAAGTCAGTAAATATGTTGGGATAGCAATGAGCAATATTTGTAGTCATTCAATTAACAGTTACTTTGATATTAATTGAATAATATCGTTGGTCGGCTTGGTTCAAAGGTATTATTTTGGTTAGGCTACATTAAAAGGAGTTCAATTTAACATGCATTCTTGGGGGTGAATGTTAACCAGACAACCAAATTCACCTTTAATAATTGATTTCTCCATGTTCTTTCGTCAGGATCTTTGAATAACTCGTCTCCAGTAGCACCCGCGTGGCATTGCCAACATGAGCCTTGCGCAGACGGCTCCAAATGTTACCTTGCAAACCTTCGCTGTGACGGTATTTCCGCCTGTGATGATGGCAGCGACGAGTGGGGCTGCGGTGAGTCTATGGGGCCATACCAAACTAAAAGGCTATGCAACGCTCTCTCCATCACTCGGCTTGCTTGTAGTTTGAGGGCGTGACGGGCCGGTTTGGTGTTAGCGCCAGTGCAGAAGTGCAAGTTCTGCGCGTGCGTGCGTGTGTCACATCAACCCCGTTTGTGCGCACTGACAGAAAAAATGCCACCCGGTTTCCTTTTTGGATGCCTGATTTTATGACGCTTGGACCCTTTTCACATTTTCCGTTTTGTAAGACCCGGCTTTCACATTCAAGGGCAGGCTTAAAGAGGGTTGCCAATGTGACGGATCTAAGCCTGCATTTAGAGGACCTGGGTCAAGGAATTATTTTCAGACAAAGATATCTCAGCTTAGAATCATTCGATAAATGTAATAATACAAATTACACTTGACCTCATGTACAAATGCATGCTAGTTGTTTTGGTCAGTATTCATTCGTGGGTCGTCTTAATGACGTCCGTCTGCAAAGCCCCTAGAGGCACTTCACTAAAGGCCCTAAAGGCACTTCAGTTTGTTTTCCATTTTTTGAAAAGCAAAAGTGAAAACAAAACAACACAAGAGAGACCAATCAATTTACTTACTGGAGAAAAACCGAATCAAACAGGTAATGAATAATAAAGTTGGGCCATCATTGTTAGCTTGATTGAACTCTACGGCCCACTCACACTGCCGTCTTTGATCCTCACACAGCAACATTCTCGTGCCCTGCTCACAAAGTCAAATGTGAGGACAGATCACAGTGCATTTGGGAGGAGTGGCTATGTGATGGAGAGGTGCATTGCAATGACGGCAGCGAAGAACGAGGTTGCTCAACCTACGTTCCACACTTCATTGACGAGGTACTGCAAAATATTAATTCTATACGGAAGATCCATTAAGTTAATTTACCTTCGATGATTTGACGTTTGACACAAACTTCATTTTTACGAGAAGGGTAGCTTCCCTGAAGGCTTTTAGTCAAGGCGGCCGCTGCTATAATATTAATACACACATCGAAAAATACTTTAACATTTAGGCCAAATAAAGTCCCCGGTTTCTAGTCAGGAGCTGGCATCAGAAGTGCTGCAGCGACGGGGCTTTTTTTTTACCCTCACTTTTTTCTGGAAATGATGTACGTGTAACGTTTGAAAGCCATCGCGACTACATGCACAAGTAATGCCCGCCACTACGGGTACCAACACTAAAATAGATTGCCCCCCCACTTTTTACTGTTTAAAAGCATTTCCAGCTGGTATATGTACACAGGACATAAGACCAATTCTTTTGTCTGGTTCCCAGATGTGAATGTATACAACAGAAATGACGCCATCTGGAAAAGAGTGCCTGACTAAATGTATGGGGAACTACAGACACTCCTTTTCTTTACATATTACTTAACCGTACCCCATCAAAAACACGTTAAAATTACGCAGTAACTGAATTCCAGTCGATTAGACAAGTTTAGCAGCTTTTGGACATCGTTTTAAATCAAATAAAACACTTTTTTTATTTTGCCGACGCACAGGTCTACGGCGACGCGCGCGCTGACCAGAAACCGGAGACTTTTGGTCTTGGTATTTCTGTATAGAAATTCATTGCAACAAAATGGTTTTACTCGAGCGTATTAAATTGCATTATCTTGAAGCCGTCGATGCAAACAAAGGTTTAAAAAGAGGGCACATCAGGTATGTCCAAATCGTGCGTTTTCCTCAACAAGTGGATTACATATTCATCGGAGTACAGAGTTCATGACTAGAACCCAGACGACGTACGAACTCCCGAGCGACATCCTTTTCGAACTTTACAGGGAAACTCGTCAATTTTCCACAGACGTCTCTTATTCAGTAGTGTGTATAGGCCTATCCATTTTCTCTTTCACCATGGTATACAGGTGGGATCAACTGAATATGTGGAGGACCTCAATGCAACCACCGCGTCCACCTTTCCGACTGCCGCAGCAAACACACAATTACCTACCACTTCCATCACTCTGGGAGAAACACATTTTGACAACACAACCGCAAGCGGTGAACCTCCTGACGACTAAAAATAATTTATGTCTCAAACACTCAGCGTAGACTAGAATCAGAAGATATAATCTGGCTGTGAAATGATTTCACCCAAACTATGTTGTACATTTATTTCACTTTAATTTATTTAATTTTGTATGTATATAGACGATATCAGTTAGAGAGCTTGTCTTTTGAGGTAAAAATCGTTGGGCGTTTTACAGCAAAAATGTACGCATATTCAGTGGAGAAATATTGGCCTACGTCCTATGGTAATGTAAAAGTAGGTCTACAGACAAAAAAGGTTGAATATTTAAATTAAACACATAGAAAGTCATTAATTTACTTTGGAGGAAGGAGAGGCCCTATAAAACTGCTAGGCACGATTGAAAGTTATGGGCTCTTTTGTGAACCCGTCTCGTACTCTTTACATATGATTTTGCGTATTTTTTGCGTTCCAACAGAATGAGAAAAAAGGTAACACGGTTCAAATAATATTATGTTTATAAGTTTCTGGGGTACGGGTCAAGTTTCCTTAGAAAAGTTCCATTCTAAGAATCTTAAGAATAAAGAAGAAAATTCAGATTGTCTGAAAACACCAACTTCACAAAGCTTGGAAATGTAGTCTTGACCTAAGCAAATGATGTTGATTGTCCGCAGCAAGTATATGAGCATATCTGTTGAACGCTGGGATAATATACCTCTACACAAGAGTATTTTCGTGTTTACGACCAATGCCTGTGATACACAATTTACATTTGAGGTATCTTTTTTACAAGCTGGATTGGTTGCGGTAATGTTTAGGCCAAAATGAAGCGTTCGGGGCAGCAAAATTACTTTTAAAGAGTTACGGAAAAAAGATCTTTGCAGTAGCACAGTGAAGCATGGCATCTTTGTCATGGCATTAAATTGCGTAATGAAAAGCTATATTGAGCATGTGAGCTTACAAATCGCCCGTGTATCTAATACAAGAATGCATAACTATAATGATCCGACGTGGGCTGTACAGCAAAGACGTCACCCAAGACACTGGATGAGCCCTATGCAGTCATGAATTATAGACGCCTGGAATGAACGTTTTGTGCACAGCATGTACCTATAAAAGATGCATCGCTCGTAAGAGCAAGACGACTATGACAGTTCATATCTTCTCACGACGTCGACGATCAAACATACCGCACAAGCGACCGCTTTTTGCATTATTAATCTCTGAAATTGGCTAAACCATAGTTATTGATTGCCGAGTGTCTCAAGGGCTCCGAGACAAAACTTCGCCTTCAATATTTCAGACAAACTAACCGCTTGAAAGGTCGTCCAACAATGGTAAATCGATTTATAAAAAAGTCATATGACTGTGGTCCTGTTCATGCTATGTGTCTTACGTGTAAAACGACTGCATATTGTCAGACATGGCTCAGAGGGAAAGGGTAAACTCATGACAAAGTGACACCACAGTAATTCAGTGCAGAACTGAAGAAGAACCCGCTTGTGCGGCGGTTTTTCTTTGTACAAGGCCCCTACACGTATTTAAATGTTGTTTTTTAGGTTTGAATCTAATGTTTCACTGCGGCAGGTCATGCAAAAAGCCAAAAATCCTAAGTCTCAAAGGCACGGCCAACCTTGATGTATTTTTAAATCAAAAGCTATACAATCGTAGAGAGTTTATTTGCAATCACGTTTGGGGAAAGATGACACTAGACTGTGAAAGAATCTGTCATTTTTGCAAACTATTTTGTCTAAACCACTGGGATGTATGAACAGCTGACTGTAAATGTAATGAACCTACCAAAGTTTGCTAAATTTCCCAGCAAGCATGTCTTACACAGTACTTTAAGCATCAGTGTAACTAAACGTTGTTCAGTATACTTGTCCACGACACCGTTTGCTTGTGTTAAACGTTTTGCTCGTTTTGTGTTACGAAATTCGAGGGAAAAAATAAAAGTTGAGAATGCAAGAAAAATAACGAGATTAATTAAAAAAATTAGTATATTGTGTTGTTACTAGTCCCCTCCACGGGGGAAGTTTGGTGTGTAGGGCATGTCTTTTTCCTTTAATGGGCACCCACATTCGACAGATTTTTGCACGCTATGTCACGCTCGTAGGTCGACAAGCTATGGCTGGTCGTCAGTGGAAAAACGAACCAACCCCTCTTCACAAAAAGCAACCACAGCGATAACACTTACGACGCAAATACACTGGACAGCAAAAGAAACTTGCCACTTCTGTCAAAGGCCACACATAAAAATTCACAAAAACTTATAGGGAAATTTACTTGGCTAAGGAAAACAATAAGCCTTTGGAAGACTTTCAGGATGCGGCCTTCAATACTTGACTACAATGGGCAGTGTTTATACCTGCTGATCGAAACTAAGCAATTCGTACGTAGGCATCTTTTTGAATAAACTAGTTGTGAAAGCAACAGCTCGGTACAAAGTTGGCCTCGGGCATATGCTGACGCAGAAACGCCATGCATATTCAGAGCCCCGAAGCGGACGACGCCCCTTTACGTGACCACGTGGCTATCCGTGTTAGTGTTACACACTACATTGGAAAAACATTCCAAAGCTCTCTTTTTCAATAAGGTATATTTCCAATCGCTTCGTTCCTTTAAGGACTTTGGTGTCTGAAAACTGAACATTTCAAGTTTACAAATCGTGCATTATTTACAATTCACTTAAGATGCTTTACATTGTAATTCGCTTTTCCCCCTCGTCTTTGGGCCGAAAAATTAAAGCGTGTGTGTGGAATTTTTAACTCACAAACACATGCAGCATGTACGTACTAGTAGAAGACGTTTATTGTACGGGGTAGGGTCACTGACATTCAGATGAAATGCAAAGAAAGACAGCAGTCACGTGTGCAACGAAAGATAAACCGAGACAGAAACGAAAATAGCATGTAAAGCATCATTTGATGACGAAACACAGGGTAAGACTAGAATATTGGTATCACACTTATCTCTCTATAGCAATAGTTAAATGCTTTCAGTAGGCAAGTGAGACGAGGTATTGAGATGCATTACGCAAAGCATCAATATTTCATAAAGCCTAAGGACTGGATTTATTTTACCCCTTTTGGTCAGTACACCATACCTTGTAGTTTTGCTTTCGTTTACATATACCTCACTTGTTCTTTTCTTTTGTGTAAGTTCACCATAATTTTTTTCTCGTGCACGATAAAAATGTGAAAAGGTGGCACACGCAGGTCTTCCTATACGAAATAGCCTCGTCCATGCATCGTTCGTTTGATAATGTGTGGCTTTAAGGTAGTACGGTATAGGTCTACCAATGACTCTCACACGGGCAGGAGATGATGTGAATCACGTTGCAGCTATATCTCATCTACGCTTTCTGAAGAGTCGTTTACGGTCGCCGGACTGTGGAACCAGACTAATTGAAAGCGTGGCCAAACAACTGTCGTTTCGTACATCATGACAATGGCTCCTGCGGGTTTTACCATCTGTCAGCGCTGACGGATGAAATTGCACTTTGGGTCTGCTGATAGCGATGGTTATCGCCTGCACAGTAAAAACTCGGGTGTTAAACTGAACACTTTTGGGTGTTATCAGATGACCACACCTTAATATAGGGTGTTACTTTAACACTGATGATGTTACTCTGCACACCTATAAGTGTTACAGTGCACTAGAAGGTGTTACAAGTAACACCAAATAACACCAAAATTTTAACACCAGTGAAAAGTGTTGGTGTAGTCTTCTGATAACACCGCGGGTGTTAAATTTAACACCCCAGTTTTTGCAGTGTGTGCAACTTGATTTGATTGCTTTGCGGAATTGATTGCTTTGCACCGTGTCAAACAAAAACGACAGTTTTATTACGCAGAATTTGTCCGTTGTGAAGAAAAGGGATTTCTATCAAACTCCTAAAACTATAGTTCTAGACCATTTCAAGGAATTTTGGCAAACACCAGTTTCTGATATTTCTAAATAATATTAAAAAAAAAAGACCCTCAAAATTTGACAATGTCCTTTTTTTATTCCCTAAACACACTTCAGGAGAACATGTACTGTACAATTCATTAACGGTTTACTTGGTGACTAAATGAATAATCATGACGGGAAAGTAAAATGATGCTTCAACTGAAAATAATAACCATACCTTCCTTTGGTTATTTCGTGATTGTACACAGGCACGCAATAATAAAAGACCCCTGTTCACACTTGAACTCAGTTCTTGGGTGTCCAGAAACAGAGAAATACGAAGTGTATCAATTCTTTCGATAACAATGAAAATTTCCGGATTATCTAACTATTAAAAGACAAAACTTCCTTGAAACTTATCTGCTAAGTTTAAAGTTTTGATACAGACCAAAGAACTGCGTTGCCATGGAACTCAAACGAGGGCTTGACGGGAAAAGTGCGGATTTGAAAAATCAGCAAAATGGCAAGTAATCTTACCGACACTAAAACCTGTACCGATTAATACAATCCTTGTACGTGCAATTTACGAGCATGCCGTTTCATCTAAATACACAACCGAAACCACTAGCTTCGAGGGGGCCAGTCACATGTTGCAAACTACAGTATTTACACGTGAAGGAATTCATACAAGTACCCTAAATGAACCTTTTTGTAAAAATAAATATACAACTAGTATAAGACCTTCATTCCTATACTTCATGAGTTCATTGACTCAAGTTTGGTAAAATTCTTTGGAAATGCTTTTTATCACTGCGAAATTTAAGAAACTGTGCCAGAAATTTAGTCTCACACTGGGTGTACTTTACGTTTATTCGTTACAAAGTCATGTACATATTCACATATAGTGATAATTACATGTAAAAAAACCCTCTTAGCTATAACGAGGAATGTCTCCATCAGGAATCAAATGAATACAGGACTATATTCAATACAATTTTTCTTTGTTTCTCTTGATCAAAAGAGCATTGGTGTCATGTTGCGCCCACGCCAGCACCATCTGTCCCTTAAGGTCAGTTGAGCGCGCCTAGAGCAACCCTACAAATACACGACTATTCAGAGCACTGTGGAATGGAGTTTTAAACGCGCGACGCCATCACATCCAGGGTAAATGGAAGAAAAGGAAAGCCCTAAATAAGCACAATCGAGCAAAATTATACGAAACGGCGATCTGTGAGGTGCGGATTCCAACTCCTGGAAGGAAATTTCAGTGAAGAGGCTTGTGTTCTTAAGCAATAGATTTGCCAGAAAGGGGGACTTTGAGACGCTTGGAGGCGGCAGACACAACGGTCCTTTTTATGTTGATGCGCGTAAGTTCTGAGCACGCGTACAACCGCGGAAAAGGACCGGCTCCATGCCTCTCAAAGTCTCCCATTGCTTCCAAAAACCAAACTCCCTCTAATTCATTGTACATCAATTTCATAATTACTAAATCCTCGAAAAACATAAAAAGATAAAACCCAAACAAAACCATCTGCAAGAGGTATATGATATCTTTATCCTGGACACTTTAACGTGCTTCCTGCAGGGCCGTTTTCCAATACTCAACTTCGGCTCCGTCTCAGGCTTCAACTGTCTTTTATAAGCTGACTTTGAAGCTGTAAGTGCAGTAATCAGTCCAATAGTGGGACAAAACATCAAATAAGATGCAAGAAAGCCAAAAAATACAGTAATCCAATGTAATTCAAACGCTTCAGGCCCACAATCGGGGACTGGTTTTGGGGACGAGGCCTGAGACGGAGACGAAGTCGAGTATTGGAAAACGGCCCTGGCCTATAACTCTTGGTTAAGAAGAATTTTCAACAACTTACGTTTTTGTTAAACACCTCGCATTTGTGCGGCATATCTTTAAGGTATTAATACCTTGACACTAATGACTGAACTGGGAAGCTATTCTAGATTTCAATTTATTACACATACAAGAATTCCCGAAGAAAGCAAGATATGTGCACAGATATGGCAAGTCACATCATGCAGTTTACAATAAATAAACAAATGAAAAACATGCAGATTCTCATAGAACTTCCGATTTCTATGCGTTTAAATAAACTGATAAACTGAGGAGAGTCAAGTTCAATTGTAAAAAGAAACACACAACGCACTGAGAAATTCAGAACTAGCAAAGCCTTTGTGCCGAGTTGAAGCAGGTGCATAAATTTTGAAAAAATCTCATCGACCACGTTTTCAAGTATACTGGGCGCATTATTTCCCGTGGATTCCGTCACAAAGCAGATAAACTGTGTGCTTAAACACCAAGGGTTGGGATGATACTGCAGCCGATCAAAACTATAGTCCTCGGCAAAACAACCCCGTCAAGTCTTACATTTAACTGCTGAGGATATTCACTCTCACTGCCAGCGTCCCTGCTGTTCTTGGTGCACTTTTTTTCTTCCCTTTTCCCCAGAGTCGCTAGCCCAGCTTCATCTGTTTTTCTTCTCCATGCTGGAAGGCCCCGGATCAGAGGCTCTTCTTCTCGGCTGTTGAGCCCTGTCCATCTCCTCCAGCTCCACGCTTGCCTGTTTGTCCCTCCGTTTCTTCAAGAGCCGGCCACTGACGAAGCCCAGAGCGCTGCCCCCTATGGCGGCCACAGTGCCGACCTTAAGGCCGGCGTACAGACCCACTGGGCCGCCGAGACAACCACCGATGATTGCGCCGCCCACAGGCAACACGGCAGCTTTTATTGTGGAGGCCTATAACCAGAAAAACAACAATCAATTAAGATAGTTGGTAAACATTTCCTCCATAAAACAACTTCACCTTGAGCTATGGCTTAGAAAGATTTATGAACTTCTTGTTTTCTTGTTTCGCCTTGTTTTGACGGATCTCCTAATCCCCCTGTTGAAGCGACAGAATCTCGAGGGAGAGGCTTTCCACAAACTAGTGGTGAATTCTACGGATTGGTTTTTTAAACCTTCGACAGTAAAACGACGAAATGTAACCGCCAGGTAACAACGTTGTCCAGCTTTTGTCGTATCCTGCTAAACAAGGCAAAAACTGTTGACTACAATTGAAGGACAAACCACCGCGGAAATTCTTTCCACAGGGGAAAGGTGTAATGACAACAGGGCCAATGAGATGAGGTATACCACACTGGGAAATGTAAGCCCTTCAAAAGCTGAACAGAGAAAATTGCGCAGATGGGATAAGAAATAAGAACCGCACGTCGATCTTTCAAATGTCATTGTTAAGACGTTTAAAACGTTTGAACCACCACTGCAATGAATCGGTTATTACATGTCACTACTCTGCATCGTAAATGCAAGTTTCTGATAATACAGCATTTTCGAGATTGTTTAATTTCGAGTTGGTTTTTAGCCTCCGTAGCTAGTATAAACATTTCATTACACATTCATGAATTTCATGTTGATCCCTAGTCCTCCACTTGTCGAGGCAGATTTACGTCACTGTCTAAGAATAATCCTGAAAGCCATCAGACGATACGTAGGCGGGAGAGAAAGTGCACATTTGCGTGGGATAGATACGGGTAAGGCAGATCTGTGGCACAAAGCCAGAGAAACTGTGGGAATATCAGTTAGCATTCCGTTTGTAATTTACCATCGTGTCAGGACAACTGCCGGACGCGCTTCTTTAGTAGCTGGATTATGGTTGGCAGTGCATTCTTTCGAGCTCACTCTGTATTGGCGTATTGCCAAGTTTCCATTCACGGTACTACACATCAAGCTGGCACTTGGTGGCGCTGTTACTAACAACGAAGTCACACGAGGTGACGCTGGACGCGTAAAATCGTCCCATTACGCACGAACAATACGGGCGATTCACAATAGTGCGCCTGCAAGAGTTTGCAACGTGTTGGCCAATCACGATGCGCGTTTGGAAAGGGTCGACACATTTTGGGCGTTGTAGGCGGTATATTCTTTTTATGGAGTTTTGTCATTTAAAAGAAGGATGAAATTTTAAACTTTTTTAAAACGAGCTTTTACTACGTCATGCCAGATTTTCAGAAATTAATATCTCCATTGCCCCATGTCGTAGCCCAATACTATACTAAAAAAATAATTATATTCACTAGGCTTATCCGAGGTCCGATGACCGCAGTATAATTTTCAATAAGTCATGTGCGTACATGTAGAAGACTGCGGACTGAACTGCGTGATCCTGTAAGCGTGTTAAATGGGAGCGTAATCTATAATCATGTCGCCCTGTGCTTGGGCAAACTTCAACTTGGCGTAACGTAAAGGAATAGGCCTGACACCAGTCGCTCATGATGGTCCCGCCATGGACATAACCGTAACGCTGGAGATGACAGGCCTATTCTCTTACGTTATGCAACTCTGGCACAAGAACAGGGCGAGATTGTGCTCGATTACGCTGGCATTATCGCTGACGTGCTCACGCGGTTCAGTACGTCCGTAGACTTCTACGCGCATGAAGCTTTTTTATCTTTCTGACGTCATCAATTTAGATGAGCGTCACGTCTCATCACTGCACTTATGCGCGTTTCACGTGCACGCATAGGCTTCCGTGAGGTTCCAAGTTGTTCATGTGTTCTAGGACAATTATACTTGCCCCGCGTCACCTCTAGGTGTACTTGTAAGCTCTCTATGAGCAATCTTGTTCCTATGGGTACGATCTTGCTGTACCGTACCATGTTGGTTCCCACCATGCCTTGTGCTAGTGAAGGAACGCGCATGCAGCCCATGGGGTTGAGGTTGTTCTGTGCTATACTGCTAGGGATAAGCTGCCACGTATAGACAACAGTGATAAATATCACTTCAGAAAGCCGTCTCAGGGGTTCAAGACATACATAAAACAAAAGCTCAGTTTTTCACCTTTCTTTCTCTTTCAAATTTTTAGTGGCTTAACAAACGGCTCTTAAAGAAGTCTCTATCCAAAGTGTATTGCCCCTAAAAGCAGTCAAGATGCCCACTGCCATTTTGAAATGTTAGGCCTACACTACATCATCGAATAGAGCAAAGTGGCGGGGGCACCGTTTTGTCCAATATATTCAGGCATACAAGCTGGCAGCCGTGCGGGTAGCTTCCATCTCTCTTTTCCACAAACCATCCAGTCCACGCGCCACAAAATGCCATGGCAGAGAATTTAACAGCATGCAAATTGTGATTTGGTCCTCGCCGGCAATTTAGGGCCTGGTTATAAAGGCCTGCAACCTGAGATCCAACCTCACTCAGGTAAGGGCAGGTTGTATATTTGGGACCCCATTTTTTGGTCATTTAAATCTTGCAAACTGGTCAGCCCCCCAAAAATAAAAGGCAATGCTTTTTTTTATCACACTAACCCTATTTTTGGGGAAATTTCGAATTGTAAATTGTGAGAAAATGTGACTTTCTTACTGATAAACCAGCCATGCAAATTTGAATCCACCACGAGTCACGTGTGACACTGACACTTTCCCCTCATAATTTCCATCACAACTCCAAAGCCTGCCCACTTTTCAAAACAACTACTCTACAGTTACTGGACATGATGTCGTAGTCATCTACCAAGGTGAATCCAAAAGTTAAAATGTAGGTCTCCCTTCTATTATAGGAACGGGGTCCCCAAATATACAATCCCTTGCAAGGGTACATCACTACTTTGTAAACTGCGAACTCAGGCGCACAAAACGTCAAAAAGATTACAGAAGGAATAGATGGCATGCAAATACTTTAAGTCTCAAAATGACTGTAATAGTGTCTGATACAGTTACAATTGAACTTGACTTGTTTAATTAGTATGCCTACGTTTTACAGTAATTTAAAAAGTTTATGGGGTTACTTGAGTAGCTTCTGACTTGTGTTGGTTTACATGGTAAAATTTTAAGGTGTTGTGTGCATAGAATTTGTCCCTCGGCACAAATACATACCTATTAAATTGAAAAATCAGCTGAGGGCCAGTTACAAAAAGCGACTGGATCATGTTACACCCCAACTATGAAATCAACCCAGACTATAGTTGGGATGGTCCCATCTGTAGCTCTGTGGTTTGACTTGCCCAACTATGGTTGGTAAACATCTACAGAAAGTTTCTCAACCTTCGCCATCTTTTGCGGCTCACACCCAGCACAATTCATCTAAAACATGTCAGTGTGGCATTTCATCCACGACAGTGTGACACAAATAAAAACTGGATTCTACTGGCAAGAGGTCTGGACAAAACATGACGTTGGCACATACTATAACACACACCTAACTCTTTGAAACAGTTGGGGTTGCCCAAATGCTGTCAAATGGCTGGTTTGTGACCAATTGTATTGGTAAATTGCACCCCAAACAACACTAGGTGGATTGTTCGTTACCTGGCTGCAATGGTCATGAACAGAAATGGTTAACACCTAGAAAAACAAACCTGAACAGCAGTGGTACCTTCCGAATGCTGACCTAGGAATTTTCTTTGCAGATTTGGTCACGAGATGCATGTTTGGTAGCGGTTGAACCGATATGCATGGTGTGAATCGTTAGGTCAGGCACTAGTTAAATGGCTTTCACAAACCACAATTTCACAAAGACATTACCTTGATTAGGTGTCTGCGACCAGTGGTAACATTCTCCTCCGACTTGTCTATATTATCAGCAATGTTGTCAACAGCTTCGCCTTGAACCTGAAAAACAAAGAAATGAAGACATTTGTACTGCCTGGACATAGACGTACTATTGGGAAAATGACCCAAATTTTCTCACAAGGAGAGGACCAAAGTTTGCAACTTGCATGGTCTCCAAGCTTATTTACTTTCTTAGAAATGACATTGTTTACAAATACCATGACTAGGGGAGAATCAATTGCCATATTCCTCATGTGTACCCTTCCTAAGGTGCATTCCTGTCTTACAGGTTTGTGCACATTCAAGTGAAAACTGCTCAGAGCATCAAATCAACCATGAGAGGGTGGTCTCGGCTTACACTTTGAATAGGGATGGAACAACCAATTTGCTGGAGGAGTTGCACTGGTCACGTTTGAACATCAAACTGGGGCTCTAGTCTATACCCCCTGGTGCCCCAATTTGAATTTTTGCTATGCGCACTGTCGATGTACAGGCAAGCCACAGTTCATTTACCATTCAGTATCCCACTGAAAAAATGTCTACCCCCCCCTAGATACCCTGTCAGAAACTTTACCCTAGCTATGCCACCGCTATTCAGATTCAGTCAACTCATACATGCCACACGACCAAGGATGACACCTGAAGTCATGATATGAGCAAACTTAAACAGGTGCTAGACCAAATCCTTCTCATTTTAATTTTTCTTTGTTCAACCTCAATTATAATTATAATTATTGGAAAGAAGTGAAATATGCATTCTCTTCTACCCTCACATGTAAATATGCTTCTGATACATTGTTGAAACTGAGCACCATCATGACACAAACAGTACATATCCCTTCTGGGCCCCCAACACAGATGACCGGCAGCACAGACTCCATGACTTACCCTGACGTGTGTCGCAAACTGGTGCAGGAGGGAATTCAGGGACACAAGGTCTTTCTGCAGGTTCTCCAGCGATTCCATGGATTCTTTGCTCTGCAAGAGGGTCTGCTGCTGCATGAGATGCTCCAACTCTCTCTCTCTTGTATCGTCGGCCTGGACGGAGGCATCCTCACTGACTTCATCCTCGGCGGCAATCACTGAACAGTTAGCAATGACAATTGAGGGAGAGCATCTTCAAAGGAGCGACAGAGAACTTAGACTGTAGGAGTGAACTTTTATGGTAGCACCCTGTGGCAGTTACTCTTTTGTGAGTCTCTCAGGTTCTGAAAAGAACCCCTAGAAAACTTCAGAGCCTCACAAATAGAGAAAGCTTTTAGATAATGCTACTGCAAAAGCACTCTGGATGCTCAGTTCACCAGGGAAACCTTCAAATCTCATCTCACTAGGCTGTGGAATACCAAGATGTCATTTATAGCGACATGGGTGATCTGAACATTAACTGAATAAATAAAACTAGGAACAAAAGACTAATCCGTTGAGCCTTGCCCCATTGTGTTCTGACCAATCAAAGCCGAGATTTATGTCTGACATATAGTGAGGCATTGGAGAAGAACACATATGAAGTGTCCATGTGCACAGTGGGCGGGGCCTAGTGGATATGTTAATTCATTACCTTAGCTGAAGCACAAACTTGGCTCACCTTCAAAATCTTCTGTACTGTCAACATGTCTCTTTCTCAAACCAGAGTCCGTGTCGGACTCATCAGAGTCTTTTGGGCGTACCTCCCCAAGTGGCGAATGGTCAAGGTTGTTCATCTCAATAAACTGCATGACTGCAAGGATGGCCTCCTCCTTGATGGGGGACACCCTGCTATCAAAAGACGGGAGGTCTGATTCTATGACTAGACTTCTTGTCTTCTCCATCTCGCGTATATTGGCTTTGAGTTGCTGCGAACAATAATTAAGACATTAAGACAATTTGAATAAAATCATATGTATAAAAAGAGTCAGGGATAAAAAGTGATATCTAAATTCCGAATCACACATGGTCTAAATTACAGACTCCAAACCATGCGTAAAATGGCATAATATTCTGTGATACCTGTTCTGAATTGGTCATATATGTATGTACGGTTAGTCTTGTTGAAGTAAAATGCAGAGAGGTGTTTAAGATTGAACCATGACTTGGTGGCAAAGTTTAATTACTAGTAACTCCCGTGAGAAGTAGTTTCATCATGGTTAGTGCAAAGCATGTATTGATTCTCGTTGACCTTCAGAAGAAAACAGTACAGTATCTAGGAGCTTCTGTTTCACTCATAGGACAAAGTTATCTATTATTGGGAACCTTCACATTTTAGGATATAGATTGGTATAACTCTTGAATAGATACATGTAAATGTTAATTTGATGAAACCAAAATTGAATCTCTTCAACTGTCATACAAAATGGAACGTGCCATAGATATAGAGCTAATAAGCATCATGAACCAATACTGAAAATGACACAATTGCCAAAAATGAAAATACGACAAAGCAAGGCCGAGATCTTCAAAAATTAGTCTGCAAAAAGTGATACCTGTATATAAATGTGTACATTTTTCTTGCAGTACACTGGCTGCTGGCATGGCAGATTTTAACCCTACTAGTCCTGAATCCTCCAATTTTAATATGATTTTGCGCAAAACCTAGGGAGTTAGGGTTAAACAGTATTTAATTTAATGCCAGATGTCATAATCAATCGAGAAATTACCTGCACTGTCTGCCTTGCATTGACTTGCTCTGTTGTCAGCTTTGCCCAGTTTTTCTGTTTCTGAAACTGGAAACCACGACAAAATTCCATTGAACAGCAACAAATACTTCCAAGAAACTTGAACCATCCCCCTTTTGTCAAAATTAACATTAAACTTAATGCAAACATTTATAGGCTGTCTATTTTCAAACAGTTTGGAAACTGAATGATACATGAAGGTGACAAGAGATAAACCTCACACTGCAAGGACAGAAATGAAGATACATTTCTTATAATGATCAGAGACTATGACCAGTTGAATAGACACCATCTGACAACAAGTGTACAATTGTGCCTGGTACATGTCCCTAGACTAGCTTTCATGCATAAGTTGCCAGGCATCATTCCCCTTTAGTCTCCAAACACATGTAGTGGCTAATTGAACTTGGCATATGGTTGACCCCAGAGTTAACAGAAAACAGAGGCACCAGTCCAAGGGGGTCAATCCATTTTGAAAAGTGGGGGGGGGGACATGCCCTGATCAGAACAAATGCGAACGCCAAGCGTGAAGCTCTGAGCGGTGTGGGGTCCGGGGCCCGCTCAAGGGCCCTGGACAATTTTTGAGTATAGATGCTCTGTTGTGTGCTCTGAAACAATTTCTGGCTACTTTAGCCAAATAAATGCTTTTGCAAGCCAGACATTTTTAATTTAGGTTTTGGAAAAAAAGTGGGGGGGGGGGCAAATGATATAGTATCCTCCCACCTGGAAAAGTCGGGGCCATGTCCCCCCCCGTCCCCCACCAATTAACGCCCATGCACCAGTCCAGCTACTAGGGACCAGCTTCACCCATGAATACCAGCAGCTTCAAGTATACAAATGTGACCAAGGACTAGGACATTTTTGATGTTAAGCATTTATCAATGACAAAATGCTTACTATTTAGCATACAGAAAAAACTGAAACATGTTTGCATCTACATGAGGGTCACCGGTCTGCTAAAGTTTAGCAGCAATGAATGTTCCTGCTACTTTACACTCTTCTTCAATGACTGAGAAGTATTGGACATCCTTTTTCAGAAAAATGCATTGGAAAGTCAATTCTTAAAATATCAAGAAATGGAAACGCTATCCTAGACAACTGAGGGCGCTGTTGCTACAATGTTATCCAGGGGAGACATCTTGCAGTGCACGGGTTTTTCTATTCACATTGTGAACCCAAAATTAACTCGCTGAAAACATTTCTCTGAATGGGTTGAATGCTTGCTTATTGCTATAAAACTTACACAATGAATCACCCAGAAAGAAAATTGAGGCAAACGAAATCTTTAGAAATTCAACAGATTTTTGTTTTTGTAACTTTCTCAGTCAGACTGTATCCACTCTGAGGTGAAGTGTGCCCTCACCGGTGAAATACAGATGGTACTAAGTTTTCCAACCAGGTTAAGACCATATATTCACGTCAAACGCGCATAAACTTGCGCTTACTCGTGAGTGTGTACCAAATAACTGTCACTTTCATTTCAAAACATGCCCTCTTTTGTTCCTGCTCGGAGCGGATACACCATAAGCATAACACCATGTATGCACCTTCTCAATGTTGACTCGGTGCTGTCGCAATCTCTCCAGATCTGTTGGGACGACAGTCTTGGTGAACTTTTGCACGGAGGGCTCGAAACGCTTCAGGGGCTGTGTTCCTTGCATGGCGCTGTACATGCTGCTGGTCATGGTCTCATCGTCCCCGAAAGCTGCCATGATGACGTGCAGTGGGGCGGTACTGTCTGTACTCACACAGTATCAGTGAAGCTACCTGTAGGCCTGAGGGGGTCATGCAAAACTGATCAATCGCAAACATCCAATAAAGGACTCTCAAGAGGGTGCCATGGCTGGGATGACTGCAATGTACATTCCTGTTTCTGATGTCCCTATATTTCACTGATTTTGTTCTGATCTCACCTCCCCTACTAATTTCTGCTCCTATGCTATCATTTATTTTCATTTACTGTGGTCCCTTATCTCTTCTTCTATTTTTTTTCCTGAACTCATTTCCTGATAATTCTGTTGGGCGCGATCAGTTGATATGCATGACTGCTTGATCTTAGCATGATCAGTCGATCTTAGTGCATGACTTGTCGATAATTTTGCCATCAGTCAGTTGCCTCTTTTTTGTGATTCATAGTAGTGAAAGATTGTTTCAACAAAGAAAGTAAAGTTGGAGATTTCATGCAGATTTGATGAATTACACACAGCATTTGGGTGATCGTGCAGATTGGCTGATCATGCCCAATTTTTACGTGTATTAGTTTCCAATGAACATTAAATTCTCAAAATCTGTTTCTCCCTAACCAAAGTTGGGCATGTGTTGGGCCTACTTTGAGTATACGTACCGATATGCAAAGTCACAGGTGTGCCAGTCAGGTATTATCAAATCCTTGTCCAGATCCTGAACATAAGGCCAGAGAAGCTTCAATGATACCTTGTTAGTGCCTAAACTTGGCCCAAAATTTTACATGAAAAGCCTAAAACCTGGCATCCCTGACTTTGGGAATAGACAATGCGTAGATCTTTGACTCATGAAGTTTGGGAGAGTTTTGTCAGCCACCGAGTGACCCGGCCCTATGCAAAGTTGACAACATTTTGTCGTGTATTTCTTTTGTGCATGGACAGTCATGGTTTGGTGCTAGCATTCTATGGGTAAATACTACTTCCAAAACTGTAAGGTTTTAAACAAACCTTCATGATAGCCATGTACAAACTCCCATAAACATTTTGGCTGTTTTGATCGTGCCAAGTTACTCTTCCATCACAGCTATTTGTGCAATCAAATTTCATACATGCCTTCTCGGTGAAGTTAGATGTCAGATGGGGAGGTTTATTCACCTAATATCGTCATTAAAAAGGTGAAATTCTTGAGTATTTTGCCAATCCACACTACAGAAAATCAGCATCATGAACTATCAATAATTGTTGGCTGTGTGATAGCTTGACCAATCACAATGCAGCTCCTATCTTTTCCTTTTGTTTTCCTGATCCCCTCTTAACAAAAACTGAGCTGTGATTAGTCACTGGAATGGAAGCAAATTGGACCAGTCACAATGCAGCTGTCATCTATGGGTAAACCTCCCTATCTGACATCTAACTTCACCAAGATGGCATGTATGGAATTTGACTGCACAAATAGCTATGATGGAAGGGTAAGCTGGCACAATCAAAACAGCCAAAATGTGTTTATGCAGCTGTCTGTACGTACATAAAGCAAGGACAGTGAGTTTGTATAAACCTTACAGTTCTGGAAGTAGGTACATGTAAATACAGACTTACGTTGTGGCTATGCAAATTCAATTCACCTTATAATTCATCTCAATGTCATACTGTAGATGGATGCTACTTACTTGTTTGTAAACACCCATGCGAAGTCAGATGTTAAGTCATGTCATGCATGTTTAGCCAATCAATCCGGAATGGCATGGTTATGGAGGATTGCAATACGAACAGTTCAAGCTCCAAAACCTGAAATGAAGGATGGCGAACGGTCAGAAGTTTCCATTTGAAGTAGGTTTACTAATTTTACAACTAAATCGACGATCTTACCCTGTCAATTGCCCTGTATCAAAATACTTTCATAGGCCTAGTTCTTAAGTGCCCAGGCCAAACAGTCCTCTTCCAGTACAAGTAGCCCTTTTGTTTATGAATGACGCAATGGACATTGCATGTAGATCCAGACTACATATATAGAAACTGTATTCTGGAGTCAGGAAACTTGACCAGGTTCCACCTTCAATCGGGGAATTCCATACTTTCTATTTGTTGGCCATCTCACGAATTAACATCACTGAGAAAAATCAAGCTACAAACACACAAAAACTCTACGCATATGCAGTCATTACACATGCAAAAAAGTAGAAACTCATATCAAAGAAAGCTCCCCCCACAAAATATTGTCACCACGTAACGCTTGCTCTCTCCATATTGATCAGTCCATAATCCATGCCCTGAAAGGAGATTGAAACTAGATTTTACCTAATCAAAAAGGTATTCACGATCCGAGCGGTCGGCGTACTTTTCAGTTTCTGTTTTTCGTGACAACTAGATAATTTCATTAATTGTTTGCTGACATTCATTACCATTTTGTATGGTTGGCCAAATATTGAAGAACTAACTTCAGACAGCAGTTTAGGTGGCCTCAAAACGCACGTACTTATATTCATAGTAGTGCGGTCCAGCTGCGTGCGCGTGTGATCAGTTTTGTTGATCTTTCGTTCAGTTGGTTTCCTATATCATGGCAATCAAGCAATACATGTAGTTTGCCAACCACTGCGCTGGATGGCTGTGATTTACTTTTTCTCTTTTTTTACAGCCTAGGGCAGGGCACTTCTGGGCTTACTCTTGGGAGTGAATAGTTTAATTTCTTTAAAAACTCTGGCCATCATTCTCTTTGTGCGTAACAAGTGTGCACTCAATGAGTGTGCATTCAATAAGCAACTTCGATTTTTCACAAGAAGCGTGTGCGGCGTATGGCCATGGACATCAACGAGCCATCAGACGTGCTTCATTTGGGCATATACGCTGTTAGAAGACCAAAATTGGCTCAGTGATTAGAGGCAACATGCAGTGTAGTTTACATGGAAATGGATTAGCTTGTCCAAGGGCCCTGTAGGGGTAGGGGGTCGCAGACAGGCGAAAACCTTCCGTATTTGTTCCCTTAATCAATGCGCTTATTAGAAAACACCAAACCTAATCTTCCCTTGCTCTCATCATGCTCATCACGGTGTATTAAGTTCCTGAAGGCTTGGGCAACGATGCAAGGTAGAGGCTCTCAGCCAAGGCTCAAATTGTGGGCAGAGTTAGATAGGTATATGTGAAGGATGCTATTACCAAAAAGGGCGAGTAAAAGGACGTGTTCGAAACTTCTGGCCCCAAAAGGGCCGATTGCTAAGGGAGAGATTCTTACTTTAGGTCACGTGATTTAGCGCGTGTACTCAGTCAATTGCTTTCACCGGTCGCGACGGAAAGCACGCACTGCTTTACCTTTCACAAGTTTACGCCGCCGAGTATTGTGGGTAAAATTTCTCTGCAATCCATGTAGTCTACGTATACTTTACATGAAGTCCGGTTTGGATCGAGCCAACTGAGTTGCTTGCTGCCGGCCGTGGAGACTGAAAAACATTACTGCTTTTACGGGTGAACAGCAAAGATGACAAGTATTAGCAGGTAATACTTCAGTGTTCGTATTAAGTGTCAGACAGTGGCACATGCTCTGGGAACATCAGTTCCCAAACCGTGGCGCACAATCATGACCAACATTACGACTGTTTGGGTGGAAAGATCCGGAAGTTGAGATAAGCAATGCGCATTCACGAAGCGTAATACTAGGCCTACGCGGTTGCTCGGATTAAAATGAACTTAAACATGGCTCCTAACTTTTTCATCGTAGAGTATGTGCTTTTGATGCTCTGCCCAAGTGACCCAAACACTCTTGCTGACACAACTTCCTCCCATCTCTATCCTCGCGATTTTGACTCTTAAGTAACATTTAACATTTTACACGTAATTCAGTGCAGTATTACACCACGTCGCAAAACAGAATGGTTTGCTCGAATTGCGATCATTAGGCCTAGTTTAATATGTAACTGTTCACGATAGGGCCGCAGACACATGTAACCTGACGCCTATTTCAGTTGGCCCACTCAACTTTATGAAGATGGTGTCGGGGACAAATAATGTGCCAGGCAATGTTGTATGGGATATGGGCGCATTGGACATTGGAAAGAAAAAATAGGTCATCATTTAGGAAAATGGAATTATGTTTAGACTATGGGAAAATTCTACATTGAATCGTAGGGAAACAAAATTTCTCGTCCAAACCTGTTTCGGTAATGGACGAACACCGATGCGTGTGTGTATTAAAAACAAACTTTTATTTTCTTTTAAATTCATGCACGTGTCTTTATGTGGTTGACCCCTTTTTGCAGTGATAAAAAACGAAGCTTCAGTGTCGCAATGAGTAATTACATCATTGACTCTACGTAAACATTGCGTCATTTTAAAGAAGTGACTCATTCTGAGTCATCATACGGATCAAGATGGTTCAATCAAGTCATAGTATGTGGTCGAGCCGAGTCAAATTTATGCGCAAGCCAATTCGGGTCACTCAAAGCTCATGCGAGAGCGATATGAGTTGTAATTCTGTGTTTATTCGTCGATCAAAAGAAAGAAGGAATGCGTTCAAGACAGCAATTTATCATTGAAGATCGAAGTGATATAAAAGCTTCCTTGTGTAGACAGTTAACAAGAGAAACTTCTGTTTTTCCCTGATATGATTTCATGTGTAGAATTTTTTTTTGCTGACATCAAAACCAAATCTAAACACTGGAAATCATTTTCCATAATATAAAGAATACACCCCATTATTCATTGAAGACAGCATATTAATTTAACTGGAACTCTTTATTTGGGGCTTTAGCAAATGGCTCAATCCTTGCGCACGAACTGACACCAAGAATGAAATCCTACATAACTCTGGTATCGATAACAACGTCAGGCGTACACTGCTGTAAAATCACAGCGTGAGCGAAAGAGTCCAGGAAATGCACTAATTCAAGCCCTACTAAAAACAGTGTAAAATCAACAAAATTCAAAGCCCCGTTGCGGGCAACCGAAGTCCCTTAGGCCTCTCAGACAAAAACAATGTGTTTTCGGAGCCTTCAGATTTCAATTCGGTTTCAAATTTTAGTAGGTCGGCCAATTAAATGTTTAATTATCCACCAAAAGAACCCCCCCAAAAAAGAACGTTCCCAAGTCTGTCAGCAGCCATTTTTAAAATGACATCCCTCCACTTTCTCAGGCTCTAAGGGTAATTTTTCAATAGCATTTTTGTCTGCTTTGCCCTCGAATGGGAGCCCCTTTATCTAGGGAGTTGATCCTTGGCCATAATAACACAATCCCACAATTTCTTGGGCCGCACAAACTCTTATTTCAAAAGTAACCTTATTAGCGCCTCAGCCCGGCGGAGAATTTACCTGGGACAGTGCACCTTAAATGCTTTTTCAACCTAAAGGTGTTATAACATGCCAAAATGCGCACCCACGTCAAGTTTCAGAACGCGCGCTGAGTCTATAGTATAGGGCTGTGCCGAGTATCCGAATGACTGATTATTCGATCGATTGTCGAATATTCGAATGATTTTTTCGAATTTGAATATTTAAATGCAAAATTCATGAAAAGACAGGGAAAACGTTCTTTTGTTTTAAATGAGAAAAATGGCACTATGGAGACTTGTTTCAAGCAGGTTCTAACTAAAAGTGTCAGAAATCTTACAATGATTTTAAAAGTAAATCATTCATTAAATAATTTAAAAGGAATGGAAATTTTAAACAGGGCAAGAAGTCTTGTTTATCTCTTGAATCTTGCTAAAAAGTGGCTTTAGGTACTCCTTGATGTGAGAAACTATTATATTAATCATAATCTACAATTGTGTGCGTTATTGCAACTGATTTTGTATACAGTTTGTTTATCAACAATCAGTACAACTGAATATTTGGATATTCGATCAAATTGAAGGTCGAATATTCGAATAGTGAATTATTCGAATCGACTCATTCCTACTATAGTGTTGACATCTCCTCTGATTAGTTCATTAAATTCATACCGTGGGAACCACAGTGCCGCGCAGTTTGGGACTCGAGTGTTGTTAGTCTTTGACTCGAATTGAGTCGAGTGTTGTCTTACGATCAAGGGTCGAGTGGAATCGAGTCATTGGCTTGCGGTGACTCGCGCCGCGTAATATGAAACCGTTATGACTTGAATCATCAAAAAATGTGACTTGAGCCGGATTCCAGAGTCGAGTCAACGACTCGAGTCATTAAAGTCTGTTCCTATACCCTGGCGGTTAAAAACAAAGAAATTCAGAATTTGTTTATTTGTTTTACAAAACGTTTTCATGTATTTTGCACCTGATATAAGTGTTGCGCACCCGCAAATCTTGTTGGAACTCTAGCGCCCCCTAGTTTTACTCTTTTTCTTTCTCGTACCTTGCATTCCCAGGGTCTCTTATTTAGCTCAGCTATGCATTGTGGAAATGTAGCAGAGATGCTAATTTTGTATTAAGTTATTCATACTGTACTCTGGCGTGATCGCTTCACTCCTTTGTCCTTGTGTTTTCTCTGCTCAGTTTGGCATGTCAGAAAATCCCCTCTACGTGGCTGCATGGTTGGGCATGGTAAGATTCCCTGGAATGCTGACGTTCAGAAACCTCAGACTTTGTAACTGTCAGTTATTCACCAAAGATGACCAAGTAAGCACTTTCACGCACCCGGCTCTACACTTTGTACACGTGACTTCTTCTGTATTTTACCTTTTCACACACGAAGTTAGATTCTTGCACACGACTCTAGCAGGCAGTCATGTGACCCTCTGAGATGGAAGATTCTCATTGGTTGAGCTGTTCAGCGACGCTTATATTTCATTAATTCCTAAGGCTCTAGAATCCATATAAATAGAGCAGATTTTCCCTAGCTCGTCCGTCAGATTCGGTGGACTAAGCCCTTCTCGCGAGAGCAAAACCTAACGGAGTATAGTGCGGCGGTTGGACCCTTTCCGAGAGAAGGGCGATAGCAACCATTCTTATGGCGAAGAAATGTAACCATATGAATGCCCAGCTAGCTTAGCTTGGACCGATGCGAGAGCGGTACGAACTAGCCCCGCGTTGCTAATGACAGTCGTAGTGGCCTGTCAAAACTACGTTCGAATACACGTTGCCGGGCGAGACACCCCCGTGTCCGTCGCCACCTTAGTCCAGCTAACTAGCCCCAGTCCGATCCGTCTCTACGCTGAGCCAATGGTACATACATGTAGTGCGGCGATTCTATCATTGCGCTCAACACATTGCGGTCTGAGCGGCAGTGCGGTCGGTACATAGCCTACGGACGCTGGCCCCGTCCTCCTACTGCTAGTCACCGTGGTGGTCCAGGACAGCTCCCACCACGGCCCGTCCGATGCGATGAGTGTAGCATAGTTGTGCGATGCTACACACCTGCAACGTACCCACACCGTCTGACTTGCATTTCCAATGGTCTTGCCAAACCGTAGTTAAGTTACACTTGTATACAACTTCGCCTCTCTATAATACTTTGCCTTTCATGTTTTGTATTACGTTAAGCTACACCTTCATCAAACCCATATTGAACGGAAGAAAAGTGAGAGCAATAAACCAACAATGCAGTTTGACTGTCACCCAAACCCCTTATTTCCCGTCCACCTCTTAATAAATTGTTGACCCAAATATCTCATCCCGTAAGACACTAGTAAAGTCCATGCTACCATCGACTTGCTATTTACGGAACGCAACACTGGTGGCAGCGGTGGGATGGAAACTTATGCCATTATACTGTAGTAGTACTGGTCGACCACATCTATTGCTCGAATTCAACTTCGCTCATGCAAGCTGCAACACTCTCTTAGCATAGAGCTACTTAGCTTGACGCAAGTTAGCGAACACTGTGCGACTATGGTTACTCTGTATGCCAAAGTTTATATGGAACGCCAAATGTACCAAAATATGATGTTACTCAGTGAAAGTAGTTTGATTGTGTCTTCAATCAGTTATGTGATGTAGTCAAACCATTATGCGATGTTGTCAATCCATTATGTGAAGTTGTCAATCCATTATGTGATGCTGTCAATCCATTATGTGAAGTTGTCAATCCATTATGTGAAGTTGTCAATCCATTATGTGAAGTTGACAATCCATTATGTGAAGTTGTCAACCATTATGTGAAGTTGTCAATCCATT